ATGGGCATTCCATCTAGAAGACACTTTGCTTAGTGTGAAGGAGCACCAAGTGCAGACTAAACAGGTTAGAGTCAATTGCTCCTGGTTAATTGAATTATGCGATCAATTAAGCAATTTGTGGAGCAGCGGTAGGTCTTAGGAGGAAGAGAGGTGACAGACCAATATGGAACAGGAGAAGAATCATCAGCTCTTGTGGAATTAGAGCAAGCTGTAGCTATAGTTGTGGCTAGAGTTAGTGTGGTTCAAAAGCTATTCTTATCATTGTTGCTTAAGTACTTACTCAACATACTCAGATTGCTTGCATAGTGTATATTCCCTGCATTTTTTAGAATTGCTTGGCTTTGACATAACAAATCTTTTCTGTCAGTGGGAAGAATTATTAGAATGAAATTTGTATCTATTGAAATTTTATCAGGCCTCCCTACTGGCTTGAAATGTAGAGAAAAGTTCAAAAGTTGGGTCTTGTTTGGGGTTTTCTATAAAACAGTGGATTTTGTTTATTAGTAAAAATCATCTGATGAGCAGACTCATGTTAAGAAACACCTTCCTGTGTACCAGTATTTCCCATAAAAGAGACTGATTCTTCTCAGGTGTTGCAACCACCTAGTCAGAGCTCATCATCATCTCGATTTCCTTTGTGGTTAATGGAAGGGGAGAGAGAGAGATGAAGTCCTTCAGATTGTATTTCTATCCCTGCTGGTTTAGGATGAGATAAACTACTTTCTGAAGAAGAAAGTGTCTTTTGGGTTATCAGAGGGAGCACAGGTCTAAGTATGCACTAAGTATTTTCAGGCAGCTAAAGCTGTGGGAGGCGAATCCCACTGAATATGTCATTTGTTAAGGTCGTTGTGTGGGCTGTGACATAAACTTTATGGTGTATGTTTCTTGTATAACTTTAATTTATATTTCAGTATTGCTGTTGTAATCAGGTAGCCTTGCTGGTTATATGAACAAGCAGTTCTCTTGGCTCCTCTGCATGCCACGTGCATGGGAAATCTATAGCAAACTGTACCATTAATGAAAAAAAAAAAAAGGCTTTACTTTCCTCTGTTAGGTTGTGAAACAGCTCAGATGTCACCTTGTTTTCACATAAGGAGGCAGAAATTAAGTCTATTTTATTACTCTTTCAAGTCAAATCATACAAATCTTTTTGGAGTTTCTTCTCTACTAACTTCTGTGAGAGCCTTCTTTTTGCCTGCCAAACCTTACTGTTCTGGAATTATGCTAAGAAACAAACACAGCATTACAAGCTTGAACACTACAATAGGTTTATATAATAGCTTTGGAATATTTTTCCTGTTATTTTCCATCTCTTTTCTTATGTATGCAAACAAGGTGTTAGCTGTTGTGATCACTGATACCAACTGAGCAAATGTTTTCATTGAGCTTTCCATGCTGATGCACCGGTATGGCTTTTGTTTTTCCTGGGCTGATAACAGCTCACTTTACCCCTACCAGCGAGCTGTTTGAATTAATCCCTTTTGTTTGCATTGCTTTGCATTCATAAGCATCTAATTGCATTTGTTCCTGATGTTGAATCACTGGTAGCTCCCACACATGGAACAGTAGATACTACACAGATACTAGAATACAGGGCAAAGAATAGCCAAGATTGCTAAAGGACTGCCACTCCAGCTCCTCAAGAGAACTAGGCAGAGTCTTGTATTTGTCTCCTGTGTTGGAGGAAAGTCAGCATAGTTCTGGCTTCCTTTCAGTCAGGCGTTTATCTCAATACCTACACATGGGAAGACTATATTCATTCTGCCTTTTGACAGCTTCACCGTGGTCTCTTCAGGACTTCTGCTTTGCTGAGCTACTTAGGATAAGGAAACTTTTGGATTTGGCTCAAAACATTGGTTATCTTAAGCCCCATCCTGGCTTCTGCCCTGTTTTTTTTCAAGTAATCTCAAACCAAAGAAGGGTGCTTGGCTGCACACCATGCTGTAGTTTCACTGAGATTTGGGGATCTCAGATGCTTAAAGAACAAGTTAGGCTGCTTTGCTGAGAGCATAGATTAAAGTAGTGTTATTAGCAAACAGTGCTGTTCGGGTCAACAGAGGGCTGAAAAATTTTGCAAAATGATGTATGTATATTTGCAGTGAAATTCACCTATTTTAACACAAATACTTCCATGAAAATCCAAATTAGATCTCAAGATGAAACACTGGTGTTTTGTTTATAGCATCTTTCACCATTCATATCTGCCTTCAGTTCTGATATTTTATGCCTTCAGGATGACACAGACGTTATTTTTCCCACATCCCATATGTCCAAATCACATACAAAGATATTTAGCTCAAATACCATGGGTGTGAAACATTCCACACTGTGGGTCCAGGGTGACGTTTGGCGTGTCTTTAATGTGCTGTGGTGTTCAGTTACAATACAGCAAATTTATTTTTATGCAGCCTTCTTCATTGAAAGTATGGAAAATTGCTTTGCAGTGAGTCATCTGACAGCTAAAGAACTAAAAGTCTGTAGTGATATTTAAAGAGAAAGTGCTCAGAGCTGACAGAGTTCAAGACAGAAAAAGAAACAGAAATTAAAGAGAGAGCCTCCAATCATGGAGAAAATAGCGACAAAGACTGGTTAGGGGGAGGAGTGATGAGAAAGCCAAACATGCAGAGAATGTCTGAGACAGTTCAGGAGATTATGCATATCATTGTGAAACAAGCATTAGGCTTCACATGTCTCTCCTGTATCACACCAGCCTTAGCCAAGCAAGGTTGCTTTGACCCTAAGAGAATAGTGTAAATCCAAATAAGAGTACTAGGCTCAGGGCACTGTAAGGAATTTAGAAGAATGCAGGTATGGGTTGAGGGAAGGATTAATGTTTTAATTTTCTAGAGAAAAAATTAGAATGTGGTGTTTTCACCTTGGCTGAATGCCAGGCACCCACCAAAGCCATTCTATTACTGTTCTCCTCAGCTGGACAGGAGATAGAAAATGTTACTAAAGGTTCACAAAATAAAGGCAGGGAGAGATCACTCAGTGATTACTGTCATGGGCAGAACAGACTCAGCTTGGGGAAACTAATTGAATTTATTACCAATCAAAATTAGAGCAGGATAGTAAAATCAAATCTTAAAAACACCTTTTTGTGCTCCCCCTAGTCTTCCCAGGCTTAACTTTATTCCCAGTTCTCTACCTCCTCCCCACCAGCAGCACAGGGAGTTGGGGAATGAGGGTTTCAGGCTCTTCATCTCCTCAGGGGAAGGAGTCCTTCTCTGACATGGGGTCCATCCCATAGGACACAGTCCTCCAGCATGAGTCCTTCCCATGGACTGCAGCTCTTCATGAACTGCTCCAGCGTTAGTTCTTTCCCACAGCATGCAGCCCTTCAGGCACAGTTTGGGTCCTCTGTGGGGTCACAAGTCCTGCCAGCAAACCTGCTCCAGCATGGGCTTCTATCGCCACAGGACCACAGATCCTGCCAGGAGCTCCAGCATGGCTTCCAATGGGGTCACAGCCTCCCTCAGGCTTGCACTTGCTCAAGTGGAGGGTCCTCACAGGAGGATCTCTGCTCCACCATGAACCTCCATGGGCTGCAGGGGCACAGCTGCTTCACCATGGTCTTCACCACAGACTGCAGGGGAATCTGCTCTGGCATCTGGAGCACTTCTTCTCCACTGACCTTGGTGTCTGCAGAGTTGTTTGACTCACATATTCTCACTCTGCTCTTCTCTAGTTGCAATTGCATCTGCTCAATAACTTTTTCCCCCTTCTTAACTATATGTTACATATATATTTTATATATATGGATAACTATGTTACCCCAGAGGCATTACTGCCATCACTGATGACTCAGCCTTGGTCAGTAGCAGGTCCATCTTGGAGCTGGCTGATATTGGCTCTTCTGGACATAGGGGAAGCTTCTAGCAGCTCTTCACTGAAGTCACCACTGTACCCCCTGTGACCAAAATCTTGGCATGCAAACTCAATACATAGAAGAAAACTGGCATTCTGCAATCCATGATGTTTAAATGTGTGGGGATTTTGTTAGAACATGCATAAGGGAATTCCAGTTAGTTAGATAGCAGTTATTATAGACATGAATATGGACTTCAGCAGCAGGGCACTCAGAGGCAAGATAGTTTTTTGCTTCTGGCCAAATCTTCTTTGGCTAGTGCTAGAGGGGCTAATTGTCAGAAGTGAGTGTGTGGGAGGAGTAATCAGTTCAGGGTCAAAGATTACTTTAGAACTTGGGCTTTGTGTATAGGGTTAAGGTCTGAGTAAAGAAGCGCAAAAGTTGTCCTGAAGAGCAAGAGGGACTTATTTCCTGTGACATCTGAGGCTTTTGAAGAATTAGGTAGTAAGGAAATGATAACGGAGCAAGGGAACAGAACCAAGGCAGGCTGTTAAAGAGATTAGAGATTACTTGCCAAGGTCACTGTTGCCTTGTATGGTTTTTTCTATAAAGTTGATGTGCAAAACTGAGCTAGCAGTAAGATATCCCAAAGGAGGAGAATGCTTAAGAAGGAGAAAAGAGATGAGTCAGAAACGTATGCCTGGTGTTTTTAAAGCACAGCACTGTCATGAATGGATATCATCAATATAAACATCTTTCATTCTAAATTATGCACATTCTTCTTGTGGTCTTGGTCAAGTCTACCAACTGGTGGTGTGGGACTCTGGGGGGCTCTCTCATGTCATGTCACACAGTCTGTCCATACTGGTTTTTTGCTCTGGGCATTCTTTTGACCTCACTCTGTATAGAACCATATTATCTGCCTTAAGAAAGTAAATGGGATGTAAAGTATGTAGCATGAAGGAGGGTACTTTGTTGAAAGCAGAAGGGGAAAAAGCGTGTCTTTTTAATACATTCAGAAAAGTTGACTTTGACATTGTAGTACTGAAAGACATTGTAAGCATAAAAGTAAGGTTAGAGCCACTCAGGTATCCCAGAATTTGAAGGGTGTCATATTTCATTGTATGCAGCTCTAAAATGCTTATTACAGATCCTCTTATTTACAGCTCTCATGTCTCTTTTGAATCTGCAGAAGAGGAATATCAAGGGCAAACCAAGAGAAAGCGCATTCGAAGGAAGAAACAAAAGAGCAGTTCACAAATCTCTAGTAATTTCCATGGAGAACAAACAGATTTGGGAATGCAAGAGACTGTTGTTCAAGATAATTTGCAGCTGCAGCAAACAGACGGTCCCAAAATAAGCAAAAACAAAAAGAGGAAAATGAAAAAGAAGCGACAGAAAGAAAAAAAGAGAGCAGCTGGCTTAGTAACAAAAACTACCAGTGTGGATTTTACATATCAGCCTGACAACAGCAACAAAGAAGAAGCAGCAGGCTTAAAAGACTTAGGTGAAAAGGCAGATAGCATTCTGGACTTCCTGCAGGCAACACAACAAATTTATTTTACTGACAGTATGTACCACTCTTTCTCATTTCTTTTTATGAGTATTACCACACAGGGGAAAATGGATATGCATTTATTACCACTGTAAAATGGGACAAATCTACTAAAGTGTCTCTCTTGAAGACAGGCATGTGAGAAGAAGTAAGGCATGTGAGTACCTAGTATTTGTCCCACTTTCTGGTCTGTACATGAATATGCAAGAATTCACATCAACAGAAAAAACCTGTGGTCCTCTGTCTTTAAAAATATACATGATGTTCCGTGCTCTTCTCATAAACATTCAAATGCACTTGGGACAGGTTGTTAAAATTCCTTTTCCCCTCTGCAAGCAAACATCCAGAAGGATTACTTGCTTCCAAGGAACTTCAAATAAGGGCAATTGCTATCCTAAACTACTTCCATGCTTAGTATCTCTGAACCAATCTACTTTTCTGAATGCTCTGTGTCCCAGGAGATTTATTTGAATTCTATAAGGAAATCTAGACAAACAGCAGGTACAAGAACAGGGAAGATACTATTGGCACTAGGAAAGTATATTGGCATAAAATATTTGTGAAGAAGTTGAATGGGAACTGATGCTCAATCAGTCAAACTGATGCTCCCTAATACTTTTTTAAAAGAATTGCATGGATTTATCCCTAATGGTCTATCCAATGTTCATTGGTCACTGTGGAACTAAATGGAGAATATTAAATAGCTTACCAACCTGTACTAGTCCATCTTGAGGCAGTGCTGTCAGTCTCTAAGTACCATAAAATTCATCTTTTGGTTACAGAATTACTGTAAAAACCTTGTTAAGATGACATCAGGGATTTCATGCTAACTTTTTCAAGATTTATACATAGAATTTTCTTTGCTTAATGTTAAATTTTCCTGCTGCATCAGGTCTTCATACTAAGCCTAGCATTTGAAATCTATCCTACTTTCTGGCTAAGGTACTTCTATCACCAAAATTAAGAATTTTACTACTTCACCATATGGCCAAGTAAATGCAAGCTAAGCTACTTGCATTTGCTGTAGTGGAGCTCCACAGTGACCAAGCAAGATTGCAAATTCTTCAAGTTCTGCTGTTAGTACATGACCCAGAACAGAAACCTGAGTAATTGTCCTCAGCTGTGTTGCATGTTGATTTTTTAAGAAAGTGTTGTTGAACTTGCAGCTTTCCTGCAAGTCAAGTTCAGGTTTTGGTAGTTTTTGACTGACTGGCTCTAGTTTCAAACCAGCACATTGAAGTGTTGAGCCAGTGAGGACCTTGGAATCCACAGAGGGGAATTCTTAGTTGAAAGGAATTTCATCTACAGATGAGATATGACATCCATAAATCAGAGTGTGACTAACTTTCTTGTTAGGCAAATCCCAGTTTATATATGGATCTGGCATTAAGCTGTTTGCCTTTTCTAGTTGAATTACTTTAACACTCACAATTTTTTTTTTTAGATAAAATTGGAAGCCATTGCTTTTAGTTACATTTTCAAATGGTCACATTGGATTATACTTCTAGTACATATGTTAAAAATCTGAATGGGGAAAATTCTGTGCTTCTCAGATGTCTTGCTGGTAAAAAAAAAGAATTAAAGGGAGTCTGGTTAAAGGGACAGACAACATGTTGCTGGAATGAAAGAGTGAATTTATGGTTTAGTGCTGTATAAACAGTTGTATTGGATGTGGCTGAGCTGGAGCTCATTTGTGCACAGCAGCCCTCAGACTGCTTTGGAAAGGTGCTGATAACACACCAGAGTTCTGGCTACTGCTGGGCAGTGCTGGCATCTTATCAGTGCTGGCTCTCCAACATTGCCCTCCATCAAGGGGCTGGGAATGGACAAGATCCTGGGAGAGGACAGCCAGGCCAGCTGACCCAAATTAGTCAAAGGGATATTCCATACCAGATGACATCAGCTCAGATGTAAAAGCTAAGGGAGGGATGAAGAACAGGGGCATTTGTTCTTTTACAGTGTTTACCTTTCAGAGCAGCCACCACATGGGCTGAAGCCATGCTTCCCAGGAAGTGGCTGAACATCACTTGCTGGTGAAACATAGAGAATAAACCCTTCTTTCTTTTTAATTACGTGTCTGTAAACATCTGGTAGTTTTGGTTGAGTTTTTTGGTGGTTTTGGGTTTTTTTTTAGCAAACTGCCTTATCTCAATCTATGAGCTGTTTTTTGTCTCATTTTCTCTGCACTGTCCCCTGGGAAGGGGAGTGATGGAGCACCTTGATGGGCACCTGGCATCCAGCCAAGGTCAGCCCATTACAACGTGTGTCCTTCTCTGTGATCTTGCATGCTGCAATAGTTGCTTTTTAAAGAAAAACATAAAGGGGAAATAACAAAGTAGTTTTTGCCTCCAGAAGTACTTTGCAGTAGTTCCACAGAGCTTTTTCCTTCTCCAAATGTCTATGCAGTTCATAATACACAGTGTGTAGGAAGCAAAAACACGGTGCTTTGGCCACAGTACAGTTTCTTCTTCACACCTTCTTTCTCTGCTAACTTTGAAAATTTGATTCTTCTTGCATTCCTATCATTATGAATCCTATTGTCCTTTTTACTTACTAATTTTTGTTGTTTTTGCTTACCATTGTTTTAATATTTAACAAAAAATGTTTAACAAGCTACTCTTTAGTGTCTGATATTTGGTTGTAATTTGTACTAAAAAAGAAGATGCTGTCTTAGGAAAAAAATTGTAATTGGGAAAATTCTCTGAGTTCACTGAAAATTTTTAACATAGTTTTCTAACTGTTTTTGCAGAGAAGTCACAATGCAGAGATGCTGTAAATTCAGCAACTGCCCAAGAGCTCTTACAATGTCTTGAATTTCGCACCATCTCTTCCTCAGATGTGACTCATCTCCATCGGCTGAAATCCCTTGTATTGCTACAGGATATTGAGAGATTGAAGGATGCTTTGAAACAATTCCAAGAACAATCTATGATGTCTCCTGGTAGGTACTATTCACTCATGTTCACACACTGATATTTTGTGTGAATTATAACTCACACAGCTTTATTTTTTTGAATTAGGAAGCTGTAAATAATGATGTAATAGAAAATATATGCTTGTACAAGATATGAAGACATAATTCCCACCAAAAATACAGCGATATCCCTATTTTCCATTTGTTTACAATCACTATATAAGCTTTTCTCACTTTGCAGCAACTACAGAATATTACATGATTCAAGGTTTTAAACCAATATTTTTAAAATCTAAAATTTTTTAAGATTTAATAATAATTAAAGAATATTTTTACTACATTCCCATGGGAGACTTTTTAAATTGCAGTAATTAACTTGTTTATCTTGGAGATTTCACTCCTCCAGCTAAGGATTCATTTTACATGCATAAAAATCAATAAAACCCATTATTTTATTTCTTCCTGGTCATCACGTGATTTCTTTAATACACAGACTTTGCAAGCTAAACTTTGATTTACCATTTTGGTTTTGTTTAAATATAAACATCTGGTTGAAGTTTCTAGAAAATACTGTTGATAATGCAAAAATTTACTCTTTATAACAAATATTATTCTGAAGTCATTCATAAAAAGAAAAATTACTGTGTTACTAAATTTTTTCATGCCTGAGGCACAGGCTCCTTCTGTTCTCTATTATAACCCCTATAATTTTAGTAGAATCTCTTCTTGTACAGTTAATAGTTCTTCAAGTGAGTGTGGGATCAGCATGTAGTCCAGATGAGGTATAATGATTCATTTTTCACGTAGTCTTAGTTTAAACAGTCATTGCTACTAGTCATTAGAACATGTGTTGCAGCATCAGACAAAAATCTACAAGATGTGCTGAATTTTCTTGCCTCCCAAAGAATTTAGTCAGAGTTGAGAGCAATTAGCTACAGCATGAGAGAATCTCAACCATTTTAGGTCGTACTCTAAGTCTTTTGAAGAGTAACAGCAGAATGATAGCAGTGTGGTAACAGTGTAATTAAGACTGTAGCCATTGGAGGCTTAGCAACAGCATTCAAAGGAGAGACATCTGCTTGTAGCTTCATTAAATATTTTACAGCACGATAGTGGCTAAAGATCCTCACCTAGACTGGAGCCTACTGGATGCTCTGTGTTGGACACAGAGAGGAGAGAATTCCTGCCTGTGGAGTTCAGATCTGATACATTTTGAAAAGGATGCTCTTACAGAAGTACATATGTATTCTTTTACGAGTAGATATGAGGTATGACAACCCTTAAGGTTCTGATGGATGTGAAGTATCCACGGAGATATATCATATATCCATGGAGAGAAATCCTTCTGTGCATTTCAAGCCTACAATCTCTGATCTTAATTACAATCACAGTCTCATTGGATGTAATACATGTGTGGAAACCAAGTAGAACTCAGCAGGAATCATGAAAATGTTATTACCCTTTACTGAATGAACTAATTCAGCTTTTCTTGATTCAATCCAAATGGAATTGAAGTGACAACATTCGGGATATTCTTTACAGGCCTTATCTAACTTCTCTACAATACAGTTGGAGTTCTTTTGGGCTTTGCAGCCTTGAGAAAAATTGCTCTGTTTACTTTTGTATAGCAGAAATGTCAAAATGAAGAGAGAAAACAGAAGCAAATTAAAACCCCTAATTTTCTAATGTATGTATTCATCACTTGAAAAAGCAAAAGAAAATTTTCTGAGTGATTTTTAAAATTCAATAATGTTTCTGTTGGTACAGCCTTGAATTGTTTACTCTTCCAGTTGATTTTTTCCCTAGTAACTGCTGTCACTCTGGGCACAATTCTAATCTCATTCCAAGTTCACAGTGGTGTAACCATAGTAGTTTATTTGATATTCATGAGGTACAACAACATAAGAAAGAGGAAAAATACATTCTTATGAATTATTAAAGGATAATTAAGCACCTGCTAGTCATTAAGTTTCCTCAGCAGACTTTAAAAAATACATTCTGTTTGTAATTCCAGAAGTTCAGTGAATGAAAATACAATGCTCTGAAATTTTTCTTTGAATTAGACCTTTAATTATACTATTTTTCTTTTTCTGTACATTTGGCTCAAAATTGGGTCATCTTGTCCAGTGTGGGTTTTTTATATTTTAGTTTTCACTCCCAATGAGCAGGTGATGAAAGTTAAGAGGTTACAAAGACCTTTGTAAGATAATACCTTTCTATAATAAAAACTTGAATTTGTTAATAGACACTTTGTTGTATCAACAAATTCAAGTTCTTATTATAGAAAGACAAGTTAGGGTTGTTTATGAAGCTAAAAATGCACAGTACATAATAGTGTTTTCTAATTTTTTAATTATTTATCTTATTATCTTGTCATTCCATATTAACATGATAAAAACCCTTTGATTTTAGGAAGTTGCATTATTTTTACAAAATAAACATTTTATTCCCTGTAGTTCAAGAAACAGTATGTTAACCCTTTTTCCCATGGTTGTGATTCTACTTCTATGCCATCATCAAGGAGGTAAAGATGGGTGCTATGTTTTGTTCAGTTTTATCTTTAATTCCAGGAAGGGAAGCATAAGAAAAAAATAAGAAGTGATGCATCTCTTCATATAAGTGCACATCCTCCACTAGTAAAAGTTACAAATTATCCACACCATTATGTTTTTTATTTCCTCATATATGGATGTTATGGTTTCATCCAACTTTCCACTGGGATTACCAAGTCCCACTTGGCAAGCTTATGCCTACTGGTGATAAGAGTGCTTTAGAATAAAGGCATGGGCTGTTCCAGGTCTGCAGATTACAAATTCAAAAGCACTAGTTCAATACTGTGATTTGGTATTTGCTTTGCATCTCTTAGCTGTTACTCAGATTGAAAATCATAATGCATCCAAAAGAAACAAGAAACAAATTTCTGTTTTATCTTTAGCTCTTAGATCCCAATTTTTTCAGTCGTATCAAAGAAATTGTTATCAAGGGTGATGGTAGGGTCTGATAAAATTTTGCAGGAAAAGGAAATACTAAGGAGATTCAGACACACAAATTATCAACATTAGCTATTATCTTTTAACTCTTTGTTAAATGAGAAAAATACTTAAACAAGAAAATCTCCATGGTTCAGAGGTACTGGTTGTTCTGTTTAGTTGTCATCCTCCGTGAACTTACCTTGTACTTTGTGCTTCCAGTGCTCTGTCAAGTTGCCTTTGACCTTGTACGTGAATGATCAGACAAAGCTGAGGCTGGTCAAGAGTGTTCATGGTCAAGTGAACATGGTTATCTAGAGTGTCATTGTTCTCAGTTGTAAAAGAGAACAAAAAGCCCTATTACTGGTTCCATTTATTTGGCAGTCATTAACAAAAAGTACTTACCTCTACCAAAAATCTTCTGTATGTGCAGGGAGGAGAAAGTTCAGAAGTCACATAGACATGGATTTCTCATGATGGGGGCTTTGCTGAGCTCTGATAGAAAGTCTGTGGCCATTAGCAAAAGGAAGCCAGAGACCTTCATGGTCCTCCACAGTGCAGTGGGCAAAGGAGAAGAGCTGTGACTGGAAGTAATGCTCCCTTTGCTGGCTGGAAGCTGGCTTTGCAAATGAGATCTACTGAATTCCCATTTCACATCAATTATTAAAGCATAGGTGATCTAATTTAAAAAAAAATCATTATCTCCTAATTTATGAACTCATTTATGAACTTCTGCTCATCAACTTCATTCTGTTATCTATTAACATTTTCCTTTTGTTGGTTGGTTTCAAATCTCAAACATACTCTTCCCTTGTTGCCTAGGAAATTATCACTCATGGCAGAGCTAGAAGCTTCTTTTAACTGCCTTTTTTTGGAGAATTGTCATTTATATAAGTCTTCATTGCAGGGGGAGGTACATTTTGCAGACCAGAGTTAATATAGTTACTGTGTGCCAACAATGCAGAGGCTGGAAATACAGAGGCCTTAAAATGATGAAATTTACACCTTTTTTTTTTTTAATGAATAAGCATTCAAAGAAAAGGAAATTTGAAAACTGTATTAGTATAATGTTATAGAATCATCTTAAATGTGATTATTATGTGATAAGTACTGCAGTAAATCGTATCATGAAAAAATTAATAAAGTCACATAGGTAATCTCTGAATTCAAAGACAGGAGTCGTAGCCTTTTGAGGCTTTAATGCAGCTATCTGTACAGTATGACTCATTCTTAACAGGGGCTTCTAGGTACTACTGTAGGTTAAATAATGATCTGTGAAACTCTCTGCAGACAGAAAGAAGCCTTGCCCCTATGATCATGTCATTTCAATCTCATTTCTTCTGAATTATTGAATCATAACAAATAAGAAATTTCAAAGCGTATGAGCAAAATTGGGTCTCATAAAAATGACTGACCTCCTAAAATAAAATGCACCTGCTTATATAGAAATTTGTAGGTATTAGTCTTCAAGGTCCAGCATATGCATTGGTTTTACTGAAATGTTAATATTGAATGGAAATAGATGTTTGCACCAGTCTTTTTCTTAGTGTTCAGAAATGTCATGCAGGTATTTCAGGAGGAATGTGTTTTCTCTGTTTCAGATCATGCCAAGGTAGCCACATCTCTGTTTCACTACTGGATTACAGATATACTTCCTGTGAAGAACAGGAAATAAAGCCTTACCCATGTGTCCATATGCAGAGGATTAAAATTTAATATACAGACTCTTAACCAATTAGCAATTGCTCAGTAAGAGCAGTGTAAATACACATTCTACACCTTCAGGTAAACGAACAAAAACTCCAAAGGACAGTAAAGGTAAATGAACAAAAACTCCAGAAGACAATGAAGGTATAACTACAGTGTGACTTTCGTGATGGGTTGGTCAAGAGTATGGCCTGAGTCTTCAGCTGCATTAATATGTACATTTCCCTTTAGGGTAAGGGACTTGACTGGAATGATAAAGTCTCTATCTGGTATTTTGTTTAAGAAGTATAACATTATTTTTTTTGTTTGTAAGTTTATCATTCATTTCTGGAAGTTATATTTCTTGACTTTTTTGTATATCTGCTTGCCTGGAAAACAGAACTATATTTTTTTATATTTAAACCTAAGCAACATTATGTCTGAGGAGTGTATTTTTGCTGAATAAACTGCTACATTGTGGACATAAATACGTTTCTATATGTGTGTGGTGTGGGTCATGTAGGTCCTGTTTGGAATTATGCAGAAACTTGGATGGCATTTTCAGAACTACTCCATGGCTCAGCCTGTTGCAATCCAATGCATTTCACTGACTTCAAAGCTGTGGTACTGGGTTCTCTCTCTCTGATTACTGTGTAATCTGTCTACTGCTGTCTAATATTTCTGCAATTGAATTTATCCAAGTGTAGATACTACAGTAAGTAATATCCATGGTTGCAAAATGTTTTGGAATAATGAAGAAAAAAGTGCTTTGTGAGAGGGTCTTCTCTCAGCTCTATCATTCATCTGACAGGTGATACAGAGCAAACCATGTCTTATATCTAGGTGTGTTAGCATTGTCATCTGTAAGATAGGGGCAACATATTTAACTCCTCCAGCATGTGCTTGGAGATACACTACTGATGAGACTATACAAACATTGCTGGGGTTTTTTGCTTTGTTTTTTTCTGTTTCATTATACTGCCTGATGTATCCTGTTGCAAGGCATTGGTTTAGTGATGCTCAAAATTTGTAACAAAAGTAAAATCATAACTCTTCCTCATTAATTGAAGAAATTAAAAGGGGTTTGGTAATACACCAAATGATTTCAGGTGCAGAAAAATCATTCTTATGGCTAAAGGGGGCTTTGTGCAGCTCTGAAGAACTTAAGTTTGGTTTGTGTCTGGTAGGAAAGGTGTATAAACCAGACTTTGCAGAGGAGAAACTAATAGTGTGTTCCCTGTTTTAGTGTTCCTGAATTGCTAACACATCAGCATTGAACTGTAGCTGTGACTTTTCACTGAGATCCTGTGTGCCTCAGTCCCACATCTGGAGAAAGAAGAAAACATCACTTGAATGTGAAGCACCTAGATACTCTTCTGAACTGACTCATGGGAAATTAATCACTTCATCCTCACGTTAAGGTTTGAATGTCACACAGTAAATGAGGCTTAGAAACTGCAAAAAAGGATACACAGCAACTCATTAGGTAAGCATCATCTGTCCTAAACACTGAACATGAAAAAAAATGAACAATTTCATGTAGTCAAACTTTTGAAACATAAGTACAAAAGAGATCAAATTAGGACCACAAAAATCACCATAGTGTCTGCATTTCCTGATACTTGAGTGATTGTACTGAGGGAGGTTATAGGGCTGCTGCCTTGAGTAGATCCCAGGAGCTGGAGATTCCTCCTCTTTCTCATCTGGATTCCTGGTTAGTGTACCTGGAGATCTGGGTGACTCCAGTTTCCACACTTCCAGGTTCAGACAGTAGCAATGCTTAAGCACATAGCTCAGGGACACACACACACACTACACTCAGATGTGACTGCACAACACTTTGATCCCTTGAATAGCAGGACAGCCAGAGTCCTATCCCTGCCTTGTGGGCCCTTGTGCCTGCTCTGTGGCTCTCCTGCACACCAGCTAGTCCAGCCTGGAAAACACTACCACACATTCACACACTCATCTCACAGGCACTCATGTCACAGCCTTGTTTATTGCTTTAATTTCTCTTACTTATTATTTCTCTTTCAGTGTTTGGCTATTTTTCATAATCAGAGAATGGTTTGAGTTGGAAAGGATATAAAGGTCATCAAGTTCCAGCCCCCCTGCCATGGTCAGGGACACTTTCTACTAGACCAGATTGATCAATAATAAAGTGATTTTTTAAATTAAACTGAATTTTGAATAGCTGCATATACATGAGCAGATTTGATATCTTTGCTAACCAGAAATATTTTCACAGAATCACAGAATGGGTAAGATTGGAAGGGATCCCCACAGTGGGATCATCTGGTGCAGACTCACTGCTAAAGCAGGGAAAAATGTTGTACTGTTCCAGTGAGTAAAAGTTCACAGGTCAAAAATGTACTTTGCTTGAACCAGGTAATAATGGATAAAAGATTACTTTTGGTCTGTCTTTTTCCCTTTGTTTTCACCACTGTAAGAGCCTTACATTCTGAGCAGAAATCAGCTGGCCCCAGCTAAGCAAGCCCAGGAGCATTCTGAGTGTAGCCAGTTCGTCACTGATATTTGGTGTCTTTGGACATGACCTGTGAGAGGAGCTGAATCTCACACTTACCAAACCTGCCACAGTTGCACTAACAAGGATTGTGAAGAGGTTAAAGTATACTAAGAGTTTAGAAAATTGGACCAAATTCAAGAAGATAAATTGTAGATTGTCATTGTAGATAAATGCAATTTCATAAGTGTATTTGTTTCTGAAACAAATGTGTCAGACAGTGTGTGCTGACCTGCAACATGCATGAAGACACTTAAAAGCAATGCACAAAAGAACACAGCAGAAAGATCTAGTTTAAAAGCAAATGAAATGGACATTACTCATAATTTAAATTAGGCAGTGTACTAAAAATGGCAGCAGGTGCATATTTGACATTCTATTTGCAGTCAAAAAGATCTCATACATCACAGTTTTAATATCTAGTCACTCTTCTGCACAGCTTCTCTAAAGAAATGGTGCTCAATCTCCTCACAGTTTCTCGGGTTTATTTAAGCAGTGGTATCACAGTGTGGCTGAGATATGAAAACTGAAAAATTTAAATTAATATCCACCAGTGAACACTGTTTTTCATTTCACTATACATGGCTCCTTCAGCATAGCAATGAAACATTTATCCCTTTAGATTTTCATGCTAAACTTATAAATGGTAAAGGAGATGGCCTTGAATTTTTACTTCTTCAGCATCATTCAGTTTAATGAATTTGCTGCATCATGTGGAATTACTGAAACATAGAAGAGTTTTTTAAGTGGATTTTGCATCAGAATACTTCTGGCTCAACTGCATAGACACTATTATTTGCATATTTCAGACTTCTGTGAAGACAGAACTTCAAGATTTTGGGTTTAAAACCTACATGGACTCCAAGAGTAGGAAGAATTTAAGGGTCAAGTGGAAAGTAATGTGCATGTGTCTTCAGGGGCTGACTTTCTAGTTATCGAACAGTGGAAAGTAAGGAGCAGCAGCACAGTGGGAGAGAAATCTGCTCTGAGAGGCAGTGGTCCTTTACCAGCATGTACAAGGAAGACCACAGGGGCTGAAGTCACTTCAGACATCTGTAGTAGTGGATAAGCTGGTCAGTGCACTTGTATGCAAGGGTATGAGTTCAAAGCCATTATCTCTATATACAGGTACACGTTTTATTCTGAAAATTGCCTGTAAGACCTTAATTTTTCTCATTTGTGGATATACAATATGGGAATCAATCTCTAATATTACAGATTTTTACTGCTTTGTAATTGGTGCAATATTTTAGGTAGTGCTTTACAATCATGTAGAGTTATAAATTCCTTAATGTGTTTTCCATGACAGCTGGCTTTTCTCTCCTGCACCCATTGGAATTGGGTGTAGTCAATAGGCTGAATGTCTGAAATCTGGGGGGAAAAAAAACTTTAGACAAAAAACTAAAAAAAAAAAGGAAGGAAAAAGTGGTGAATGGCAGCATGAAGACAGAAGATTTTTAAGCTGTCTTTCACCAAAGAAAACTTATTTAACCTACTAATAATACCATCTATGTCATAAAACCAGTCCACAGACATGGAGTGAAAAGAGGTGTGTGTTATGCATGTACAGTATGCTACACATTGGGCATAATAATAGAAAGTGGTAGTGCAAAAGATGGTAATCTGTAGGATTGGGAAAATATATTATATTTAAAATTTAGGGAAACCTCAGGTTTTAGCTGTGCAGGTTTTGTAGTTAATTGCATGAGCCCTGGATTCCTCCTAAGGAGGGCTGTATTGCATGTGTTTATGCACCTAATTAAGCTCCACTTTTTATTGCTTTATCCTCTGCATTGCATCTGAGTAAATTTTGTTTGTATTTTTAAACTGTTCAATATATGCAGGCCTAAGGGGAGGGGGAGATACGTGTTTTAGAAAAGCAGAAATTTAGATGCTGTATTTGTTTACTGTCTCTAAGAATCTAGTAAAAAAACTATATATTCAATGATTATTTGAAACTGCATATGCACCATAGTCAATGAAGGTCAAATATATAGCTTTAATAAGGCTATTCTCTAAGTTGAGTGCTTAACTTTGTATAATTAATAGCCTGTAGTCATTTTAATGAACTCCATACTCTGGTAAAGTGTATAAGGAAGCTGTAGTTCTATTTTACATTATTACTGCAAGGCTACATCCTGTTTGGGGATACATAATGGACAAAAAAAAATGTAATCCAAGATTGAAAAGGAATACACAAAAACAGAAGGAACTTCTCTTTTGCATCAACTGTATGCTGCTAGAGGTTGCATCAAATAGGGGCTGCTTTTCTTCACTTTCAAGATCTTTGCCAGTCCTCTCCATCCCTCATTCAGTTCACAGATGATTCCTCCATCCCTGTCAGCCTCTGGTACTAATTTCCATCACCCATTTGCCATACTTCCAGATTTACACATTTGTGCTTTTTCCCCACAGTGCTTTCCATAACTCTACAGCGCAATCTTTCCATTGTCTTTCTTTCCTTCTTTAAAGCTCTGTTTTGCTGTGATCCTGCCCAAAACCTTTGCCAAAACCCCCAAGCCTGGTCAGTAAGGTGCTAGGACAACTGCCTGTTGTGCTGACTAATGTTGCCTTACTGTCTGTGTACTCCCACATCAATCTCCCTCTTTTCTCTGCTGTTTTCTCCATTCCTAAATCAGTAGCAGTTTGATGCAGGGTTGCTCTGCTGCACAGCACCAGTGCAGCCAGTTCCATCACCTCTGAGATGACAGTGTGCTCAGGAAATGTAACAGAGCTGTCTACAATGGAGAACATGATTGAACCTGTGGGCAAGGCTGCTGATAGTTCAAAGTGGCTCCATAATTTTACATTGCACACGTGATCAGTCTGGTAAAGTGAGGACCTGGTTCTCCCCAGCAGGTGCTTTGGAGGCAATGTTCTTGTACATCTTGCTAAGGAGAGCTTGGAAACATGCAGTCATTCCTCCTGACTTCAGATGTCTACAGTGTAGTTTTTACC